ATATTTTAGTGGAAAGCACAATCTATATGAATTCAAGGTGGAGGTCTCCGTAACTCCGACCGGATTCTCATTATCCTCGGGTATGCATTGAACCCGGGTCTGTTTCGAATTTGGTTATTTTTCAAAGCATGCAGTTTTTTTCATAGGCGTGCGCAGCGAAGGAGGGACAACGAAAAGTAGATTGATGACGACGGGCCGCTGCCCGAATGGTACCCAGAGCAATGGGAAATTCTTGCTGACAATTGCTATGAGGGCGCGGTCGAGTTTTGAAGAATTTTCCACCCTAAGCGCAAACCGCAAGGGGGATTTCTGTCTCCAGAGGAGGTTGCAGAGAACAAGGCTATTTCCAGCGATAGAATCATTGTGGAGAACTATTTCGGGCGGTTGTGTGGTCTTTGCAATGTTATAGGATGTAAGTGGAAGTGGAGTGAAAAAATATGACCCGGTCTTTAGATTGTGTTTGGGATTGACTAATTTTTATATTCGTTGGAAGCCGTTGCGTGAACAGGATATGAGTCTGTGTCCACAACTCACGAGTCGTTGGTACAGTATTAGAAACAGTCAGCTTGAGCGGCGACGCCGTATTCAAAAAGGTATCGTGAGAAACGCGCCGATATTATGAAGCGACAGTTCAGGGCGAGCTCTGTGCTCGATTTGCTTGGTTGGGAGCCCAGAGAGGACTGCTAATCACCACCTAGTTACTTGGTTTACTTGTAAATACTATCATTTTGCACTGTGTTGTAAAGGTTTGCCAGGATATCCGTAATTTGCACTTTTGGAGATCTTTTGAGGGGTGACTAAGTCGCGTTCAAATAAATGCTATTTTTTTGGCAATTTCTGAGTGATTCAATGAAATGTCGATGTTTGCGTCCGAGACCTACTAGGAACGCGACTCGCAGACGCCGTTTTGTTACCCTGCATCCGACCTACGTACGGTACCGCCAATAATTATAGCCGCACCCCACAAATATGCATTGCTGGTAAAGGAATATTACTTTGCATAAAACACTGCTTTGTTCTTGACGCATTCCTGCACGCCGAGTCCAAAACAATGCTCAGATTTTGAAGCGCATCAATAGTTTGGAAGATATGCATCAAAAACCATTTATGGGGTGACAGTAATTATAGAGTACAGTGCTTCTAAACAACCATAACTCTGGTTCAGTACTTCGTAGGGCCACCTTTGGCCATTGCACAGTCAAAGCAACGCTTCTGCATGCTCCCTACGAACTTATCCAACGTCTCAGTGTTAATATTTTCCCCAGAAGTCCATTATACATCCGAGTAGCTCATCGCTATTATTAAACTGCCTTTCATGTGCGTACAATTTCCTTGCCAAGATCCCCCAAAGGTTTTCTATAGGGTTGAGGTCAGGGGACTTGGCAGGCCAGTCCATAACGTGCACTTCCTCCTCCTCAAACCATTCGTAAACGCAATTAGCACGGTGTACAGCTGCACCATCTTGCATAAACTTCCAGCTAGGACCGAGCTCTTGATCAACAAAAGGAAGGAGATTGGTCTCGAGAGTCTGAATATACTTGAGCGCATTCTGCTTCCCTTCTAAAGCGACCAAGTCACACTTCTTTTTCCCAGCAAACGCACCCCAAACCATCACCAAATCCACCCCTTGCTGCCGCTTTGAAAAAACCTTTCTATCCTTTCGTAAGTCATGCCAATAAAACGCGAAGCCGTCTGGTCCGTCGAGATTAAACTTCTTCTCGTCAGACCAGACTACACTTGCCCAATCACCAGTCGTCCAGGTCACCTTCTCTCGAGCCCAACTTTCTCGCGCGATTTTGTGGCGCGGAAGCATCATTGGTGCGCGTGCCATGCGCATATACCGAAGGGTGGGAGTGCTGCTGAGTATTGCACGAACGCGGCTGGACTTAACAGGGAGCTAGAGTGTCTTGACAAGTTCTGTTGACGTCATTTCTCCCTTGTGCGCCTCTCGGATCAGCGCCCTTTTTGCCTGCGCAGACAGCGTAGGCTTCCTCCCGCTCCTTTTTTTCGTTCCGTAGAGCTCGGAGGCTTTCAATTAGTTAGCTACTACTTTTGCGGACCTGCCTAGATGCTTGGTGATGCGGTGTATCGACCACTGAGCATCATGCAGGCCCGCAATTTTGCCTTTTTCTTCAGCCGTTAAGGATTTACCGCGGGGCATAATTGGGGGGTCTGTTGGGTACTTTGTTACACGGAAGGCTGCTTGTGTTGAAGCGTATTGTATTGGGCTTTTAACGCGCTAGAGAACGCGGCAAGGAGTCTTTCGGTTGCCGAGTTCTTGGCGCGAGAATGTACTGTACTCTATACTTAATGTCACCCCATGAATACACATGTATTAATATCTGCAAAAGTATTTATGCTTTGCAAAATCTGATTGCAGATTCGGACTCAGCACGCATTGTTTTATCAAGAATGTTGTTGTTTTTTATGCAACGTGTGCTGCGTGCCACAGCACGGCACAACTTGGGGGTGCGGCTATAAATAATGGCGGTACTGTACATCCGGCCCATTGCCCCAGGCCATATTTGCACATCCTGTTTCACATCCGGCGCGTCGCCCGCACCAGCCAGTAACAGCGGGTACAGTAACAGTCCGGCGAGCGCAAAATCAGGCTGCCTGGACGGGTTTGGGATCACGGCGCTGCCAGCAGAGCCACGTGTGCTCAATTTGGCCCGTGGCTCGTTGCCGAATGCGCACCTGTTACCCGGCGGCTGCGGCGGCGATTTATGTTAACAAGTTACCCGGACCGAGGATGCTCTAATACAGTCCAAATTTTGGATTGGATTCAATTTTGTACCCTTCGAAGGGTACCATCGCTGTGGACGGTCTTAGAGAAAAGAGGGTTTGTCGGCGAACATGTTTCTATTTTCTTGTGATTGGGCGTTTACTGTGTGTGGGCATTTGTGGTGCCATTGACACAGGCATACCACCACGACCGAGCCAGTAGATGTGTGGGGAGCAGATTTAAGGGCTCAGCTTTCCTGGTGTCGTGAATGTTGACTGTTCACACATCATCACATAGGACAGTCTGTCTTAGTCCGCCGTCGCCGTCACCTCGATAGTATTTATACCTAGGACGCCATGACCAAATACCAAAGAGGTGGAGTTGAAGCACAACAGTGAATGAGGGAGTTAGATGGACTGGGGAAATATTGGAAGACGTGGAAGGTAGAGGCTCGCAGTTTGAGTGGTGCCCAAAGTAAGCGAATACTGTATGCCAATTAAGCCTCTAAGAAGAGTCTGTTGCAGGACGGTAGATACTTGAAGTAATGTTATGCCATGCCCACGGCAGTCCGAAGAAAAAGTGTACTGGCACGCCCCTTCCCGGACGTCTCCCCTGTCGTGAGGCATCGAAAAAGCTGTTTTCAAAATACTTTCAGGAATGTGATGCCATGTGGGCCCCGAGCCATATACACGAAGAAGGCATTGTCTCGTACGTATCTTCCCAACTTCCGGGGCGTGGAGTGGGCGTGTCCAATTGGATTCTGTGGAATTTGATTCGCGGGGTGGGTTTCGACACAAGTTTCGAAATCAAACACAGTGCAGGATGTACGTTGCGGGGTTCATTTCGTAATCTAGCGCCGCGTTAATCTCATCCATCGCATCGGTTCGTGTCGGTGAATGCAATGATAGATGTCTCGCAACAAGCGAGATGTGGAAATCGTTGTGGCAGATACAGTGCGGGCGTTCTGTGGAGGAGCGTTTCCCTCCCATGTCTCCGACGGCGAGAAAGAATGAAGGATGGATGTAATCAACGGCTGGAAGGAGGGCGGGGGGGGGGGAAGACGGAAGCGAATGGGCACGCATCGTTGGCGAGGATTCCGCAGGCATTGAGGAGAGAGAAGCAGTGAGGATTGAGGAGCTCGCGGTGGTTGTGGTTGTACGGTATTGACTATGCCAACGGTGTCAGCATGTTAGCAGGGTGATGGTGAGGGCACGAGATGGTGGTGTGTCGGTTGGGGTAAGTTGTGTACGGAATGTCTATTGCCCCCAAAGCCTCGGCACGTGGCGTTTTAGGGGAATTGCAGTTCCTTTACCCGTGTCCACGTGGGCGACGTGTCGCCGGGAGCACGGCCGAAGGGCAAGTCCTTCCGCCGCGGCAGCCGTGCGCGACACGTTTCAGCGAGCGTTGGTTGGCCGCGGGTTGATTGCGCCCCGCGAGGACACGCGTGCCCCACCACTCGCATGCCGCCGTCTGCCAGCCCACATTTCCCCTCCTCTTCTCCGCTCCCTCCGATGGGGTGCGGAAGGTACAGCCCCTTCCCCGCCAGCCGCAAAAAAAAACAGCGCGCCCCCCATCGCCCCACCCCCTGCCGCGCGACCCGCCATGTCCGCCCCCTTCGCAGTGCTCGCGACCTCCACCCCGCCTGGCGGGGTCGCCCGGCGGCGCCGCGCTCGCCCTCGTGCTGCCCCGCACGCTGCACAGCACCTGTGCGCAACGCACACCCCCCCACCCCCACAAAAAAAAAGTTATCGCGCAGCGCCAGCAAGGTGCGGCCGCGCGTGCCACGCGCGCCCTGTTTGTTCCGAAAGTGATTGCGTGCGAAATGCGCGGAAATGGCCGCCCGTGTGCAAGTCCACGCGTGCGCGCCCGCGATGTCGTCGCATGGTGCCACCGCGGCCTGCGTCACTGCGCCCGATCTCGCACCGCGTCCCGTAGCCTGCCCGCATGACCGCACGCCTCCCCGCCCCGCCGTGTAACCGCGATTCAGACAATCCGCTACACCCCCCCCTCCCCCCCCCGCCCGCTCCTAACGGGAAAAACTTTTGCCGGCCACGTGTCCCCACCCCGCCCTTACACCACATTCGCTGAAAGTCCTCCCGGGCCGCAGATCCACCGAAGCCTTCTTATTAACCCACGGCCGCGCTATCTCCCCCCGGCCTCCTCGCACACCGCCACCACCTTTCCACCCGTGCTCGCCTCCCTCAATTCTCGTCCCCGACCCCAATTGACCCCACCACCTACCCCCACCCCAAACCCAACCCCTCCTTCCATCGCCATGTGGCTCCCGTCCGATCTCTCGCACATCTGCATCGTGGGCGGCGGCAACGCCACGCACGTCCTCTCCGCCCTGCTATGTGCCTCCTCTGCGGAGCTGCACGTCTCCATCCTGGCTCCCTTCCAGGACGAGGCCGAGCGCCTATCCGCCTCGCCCGGCATCACGCTGGACCAGCCGGACGGCTCCACGCTCACGGGCAAGCCGCATCTCATCACCGCCTCCCCCGCCGCCGCCCTTGAGAAAGCCCGCCTCGTCATCCTCCCGCTCCCGCTCTTCGCCGTTCCCGCCGTGTGCGACCTCATCGCCCCGCATCTCGCCCACGGCGCATGGGTCGCCTTCTTCCCCGCCCAGGGCGGCGTCCAGTGGCTCGCCGCAGATCTGCTCGGCCTTCGCAAGAACCGCCCCGATCTCAAGCTCTTCGGCCTGGACAAGCTCCCGTACAATTGCAGGATCCTCGAGTTTGGCAAGCGCGTCCGCGTCTTTGGCTACAAGGAAAGACTCAAGCTCGCGTGCTACCCCAATGACCCCGTGCTCGCAAAGCGCATGTGCTCTACTGTCAGCGCCATCATCCCTAGGCTCCAGCTCAGCCCAGCTCCAAACTTCCTGCTCGCTACCCTCGCCCCTGGCAATCAGTGCATTCATCCGGCGAGAATGTACTCGCTGTTTAAGGACAACACCACCCGGAAGACCGTCCCCATGTTTTACGACATGAAGTCGTACGACGATGTCAAATACATCCAGCTCGTCTCCGATGAGGTCCAAGCCATCTCCAGGGCCATCGAGAAGGTCGCCAAGGGCATGGGCTTGACTCTCGACTTGTCGGGCGTCCTCGATGTCGGCGACGCTGTCCTTGCCGCATACGATGACGTCAAGGACACTTCGTCCCTCATGACCATCTTCTCGACTTGCAAGGGCTTCGAGGGCATCGGCACACCGATGAAGAAGGTCATCAAGGACGGCGAGCCCATCTACCAGGTCGACTGGCACTCGCGCTACTTCACGGAGGATATCGCCTCGCTGTGCGTGCTGCACGGCCTGGCCGAGATCGTCGACGTCCAGGTCCCGACCATCGATCTGCTCATTCGCTGGGCACAGGTCCACATGGACGATGGCGAGTACCAGTTCGTCACGGAGGACGGCTCGCTCAACACCGACCGCAAGAAGCTCATGTACTCTCCGCAGTACTGGGGCATCACTGACAAGGAGCAGCTCGTCCGCTTCCACGCCGAGGTGCAATCCGATTCCACCGCCGATCCCAACGGAACGGCCACAACTGACACTACTAGCTAAAGGCTGGTCGTCGCCACATATGCGCGCGCACCCGCGCCGAGCTGGGCGTGCTTGGTTTTGAGACGCGCGGCCGACCATTCCTTTCATGTACTCTTTCGAACCCGTTTTCTTTCTATCTCTTTCTCTCTGTTTACGGAAAACGCCTAGCCTCGCACTCCGCGTCTAATTCCTCTCGCTTTTTTTGTTTTTGTTTTACTCGTAAAACTCTTTCTCTCGCTCGTTCTGCCCTGTACGGTTGGGTCCGTGCTGAGGGGGGTTACTTCATCGTCCAATTCCCCTGCTCGCTGCTTTACTTTTTTCTGTCTTTGTATGCCGGCGAACTCTTTCCCTTGGCAGATCTTCACATATTGGTCCGCCAGATGCTGTCTCCTGGATGGGTTCGCTCACGCTACTCGATTTGGCGTCTCGTTTCTTTTGGAAAGCTTCCCTTCCGAGTGCCGCAAGTCAATCAGTTATCGCTTGCGTTCACATGTCCGCAAGTTAAGAAATGAATGCAGTCTTTTACACGTTTACTTTTTGGCTGCCCTGTTCGCTCAGGCCATGTGTGCTTTTTTGGTTTTGTTTGAGCTTGCACATGCGATACAAATGTGTACAGTATCCAAGGGTACAATAAAAATGATCTGCCTGTTTGCTCGAAGCACAATATCGCATCCAAATGCTTTCACACATCCAATCCTTCCATTATGCGAGCAGAGAGGTGATGGTGGTGTTTGCCTCTTCAACCTCCACATGCCTACTTTCTTCGTCGAGATAGCGACCGCGACTTACAAAGTCGTACAGGTCTTCGTCCGCCAATTCCGCAGTTTCTCGATCGAGTATCTCAGTCATAAGATCGACCAACGTAGCACACCCCATCATCTCTGCAGCTTGCAGAACCTTGATGGCCATCATCCCGTCCATCGTCCCAAATTTGGCCTTCCACTTCTCCACCTCTTGCCCGACCACTCCCAATTCCAACACGTACGTCATGAACTGGCAGTACTTCAGTACATACAGCACCTCGGGTTCGCGCAGCATCGGCAGACGCACGACGGCAAATTCTTCGTCTATTGATTCAGATTCGTTGGCGCTGTAAGATACGTAGTCGCACAATGGCGTCCATGCATTGTTCATCACTACCGTCTTTTCCGCCAAGAGCAGCCGGATTTCCAAACTCGCCGTTTCTATTTCATCCGACATGATGATCAGACTTCGGCTCTTAGGCTATCGCGATGCCTAGCTCGGCTTGTTGCAAGGGTTGCACTTCTGTGGTAATTCTCGTCTATGGCGTAGCTGTCTTTGCCGTCTAAGAATTTTGTTTTGTCCAGGAAGAGCAAGCAAGTGGACCATTCGTCCCCACCAAATAGAGTTGCTTTCCTTGAGAGCGTCTGCCTATTCGCTATACTTTCATCTCGCGTGGCCGTGCGCTTGTGAGCCACGCAATGTTTCGCGACCAAACCACGCCTTCGTTAATTTTTTCCCATTCGCATGAAAACGAATTTTCGAAAATACGTATGTATTTACCAAGCGGGCGTCTGGATCTTACGCTATGATCCATTCTTTCATTCCAAACAGTTGAAAAACACCGTGCTCTTGTCGTACACAGAAGCGGACTGTGCATCGACGCTGTGCTCTACCCTTTGTCCTCTAACAGAAGAAGAAATTGTGTCTTGATCTTTCAGCTTTCGAAATGATGCTGTGAATGGTAGTCATCCCGTTTCAGAAGCAACAGCTTCTTTGATTGGCGAGCCATGGCCGAAGCAAAAGGCACTTGCTCCCGGAACTAAATCGCGCATTGAGTATCCACCCTTGGGTCACGTAGAGACCTGCCCTCGGACTCCGCTCGGGGGTCCTCGAGACAATGGAGTGTATCTCTCAAATATATGTTTTTATAGATGCTACAGTACCCTTGCTACCATTAAGTCTCTCAAGCAAAAAGGAGATAATTGCGCAAAGATCGGTGCTTTGCGCATGAGGGTGCGCCCATACAGTGACGACTGCATCCTTGCTGGCACGTGCGAAATGTCCGCAAACCGCAACAAAAAAGCCGTGGCAACTGCGTTACTGTGCGAAAGGCTGCATCCATACAGTACCCTTCTCACTGGGGTATTGTGGAACATTTTCCATGTTCTTAGGAATCGTCAAAAGTCTGTAAATTTTCCCTGATTTTCGTGGCAAATTTTTTGTGCGATAAATGGCTCATGAGCGGCGGGGGAACTACGGAACACCCGGCAAAGCCCATACTTGGTGTTCTTAAACGCATTCTCGAAAGATGAACTAGACCACGTGCAGCCATATGGGTCTGCTCCGGACCGTCATCGTTTTGGCCACTTCCTGCCCGCCTAGTTTTCTGTCTACGCAAATATGCCAGAGGTATGTCGTCGCTTGAGCTCCCGTTGATCTCTAAGCTATCCGATACCACTCATCGAGGAATATTGGGATGTGCATTTTCTTTTTCATTCTCCATCGTTGATGTGAAGGTAGCCAAGAGTGTTTTTGGGGCTCCGGCAGGTGTTTTCATATCCGTAGCCGGTCCGTAGTCATTCATGGTTTCATTGCACGTGAGTGATCGATTCGTGAGAAGCAGTGCAGAATTGGGCTCAACACTGACCCTTCTCCGGTTTGTTTTGCTGCCGGCTCGCGGTGAAGGGCAAATGGCGTGAGACTGTATATTGTTCACAACGTAAGAAGTTTTCATCAAAACAGCAATTTCACCCAATGCACGTGTTCCCGTCATGCCGCTGTTCAGTAGTGTTTTGATTCCGTCGGTGAAAACACACGCAGCTTGTCTACGAGGATACTTTGAAGCCTCCGATACCCCAAAAGTGTCTGCTCGAGGTTCATGTGCATCTATTAAGTGTGTTGTAGATGATCCAGGAGGGGCATTATCGAATATTTTCATGAATTGAAAATTCATAGGCCATATGCCTGCTTCTTGAAATGATTTTCTTGCCACATCTGAGGTCACGGCTTTGTGTCCAGCAATTGAAAACTTTACTTTCATTGCAGTATTCGTCCAGGAGAAGTGAATTATTGCCAACAGCCGGTCCCTTGTCCTCCTGATCTCCCTTTGGAACGCCTGATTTGCTGATTGGTCGCATGGTTGCAGGATATGTGTAGTGTTGGCTGGAAGTTTAACGGCTGTGATATTTCGCCTTCTGCATTCATTTATCCATTCTTGACTCTGACGTGAGCTATGTCCATCAACCAAAAGCAAAATTTTCTTCGAATGGGGTATGGTTTTTCTTGCATGAGTGTCAATGTGTTTGATGACATCGACAATTACTGTTCTATCAATCGAGCCTTTTTTGTTACAGAAAGCGTTGTTTCCTTAGGCCACCAATCATCATGGCAAAGCCAATGACAATTCCCATCCTTGCCAGTAAAATCTTCCTCTGGTAATGGCTTCTTCCAGCTTGACATACATTTTTCCAGATGCGATTATGAATAGAGGGGCAACATTACCATCCGCGGCAATGGCAATACCAGCTGTTAGATGCTTTCCGGCGTCTCTAACAGCAAGACGGGCTCCTCCGCTACAGCTCTGCGATGCTTCATAACACCTTATCTTTTTGCCGTACTCTCCAAGCACTGCCGTTTCGTCAAAGTTCCATATTAGTTTGGGGTCATTTTTGAATTCTGGGAATTCTGAACACACGGTCTGGAGTACGGTTTCAAGACTTCCGATGTGCGATACATTTTCTGCAGCTAAACGTGGCGTAGAAACATTTTCGGAGACCCTGTACGCGAGCTCTCTGTGACGGGCTCTGAAACTACGAATTGTGTCCGGGGATGGAACACCTCGCCGAAACGGTTGGCGACCGTCACTGCTAAGTTGTGCAAAAACTGAGACCAGGTCGTTGGTATCGATTGCGATCGCAATCGAAGGCTTCGAAGCCTCTCTTTGCGCCGACGAGTGCCCTTTGAACAACAAGCTCTTCTTCTGGAGGTGATATAATCTGAGCAGGGCCTGGTCGATAATTTAGGGGGTCAAGCCGTTTTTTCAGCGCAACATCGTCCCCTGTAGTGAAGTTTTTCTTGATACGAAAAGCTGTTGTGTTGGATACACCACTGAGCGAAGCGGTCTTCCGAATTCTGTATCCTTTTTTGAGGAGATCCAGCGCTCGGTGGCGCCGCTGTCGTTCAATATGGGCGTTTGCTATTCTTCGCTTGTGTGCTAGCGACTGCGCTCGCATAGATGGTGGCATGGTGCCTATGCGCGTCGTCAATGGCGGGTTCAGACGTGTCCTGGAGTGCGGTTTGTGGATACGATACGGGTTCCATAGGAACCGCAGATCTGCGGGGGCAATGAAAGGTGGAACGCTACGCAGGCTGGTCTCAAAATTAGGGGTGTTTCAAAATTCCCCATGTTCCAAAATGCCCCGGTGAAAAGGGTAGTTTATGATCAATTTTAAAACATCATGTAATTGTCGAAGTACAGGGGGTCGCGGTAAAAGAGCACTTTGAATAAGAACGACCTCGCAGTAGGTCTTGCAAAGACTCGCAAACTGCGCAAAGACGGGGTAGTTGATGGTTGTTGGATTGACATCAGTGGAGACTGAGACGTCCAGCGCGCGACTACAATTGTAGTCGCGTTTAGTCCGTTTAAACGGAGCAATCACGGAGCACAATTGGTAGCCATTTATTTTTGAGATAATGTTGCGTTTAGTGGGGCGATCGTGTCTTGTTTGGTTGCAAAAAGGGGGTGAAATGGCTTTTGTTGTAGTGATGAAGGGGTGATGCTGTAAAATTTGCAGAGGTTTACATCCAATAGAAAATTATTTGTAGGGATCGTATGGGCGATGTACTCAACAGGGGGGTGACCGCAAAGAAGTTGGTTGTTCGGGAGGGGCGACAGAATCTGAAAAAAGTGGACAGTGCAATAAAGTGTACTACATGACAGGTGAAATCGGATACTAAGGCGATACTAAAAGAGCGGCTACTCTGCGGTATCCCCTACTCTGCGGTATCCCCATACAGCTGCTTCAGAGAGCAGTGCTTCACTGTGTGATCTGCCATCCGACACAAAGAACAGGGGTAGACACGCTTCTTCTTGGCAGCAGGGCCTTTTTCGTACGAGGTTTTTCTTCGCCTACCCGCCCTCCTAACCGGACGACCCTGTGGCGGCAAAGCTTTGGGAATTTGCAGATTCTGCCTCTTTGCAACCAGAGTCTTTGCATTGAATAAAATGTCGTCGACCCCAGCTTGTGAAGGAAGACTGTACTCCACATTTTCGTACTGCTTGACCCAAGCTGATGTTAGATGACGCGCTTCAATGAATCGATGAAGATTGCTTGATCCATACTTTTCGAGGACAACAGAGACTCCATGCCAACAGGGGAATCCAGAACCATTTGTAGAGTAAGCGCAGCATAACGGGGGGGTTTGGGGATTCTTGCTAAGCGTTACAAGACGCATAACAGTTCCGTTTTGCTGACTAGCTACGGTAGCTTCCATTTGCGATGTCCCATCCAGAAAACGAACGGAAGACCGATATGCGCGAGCTCTCTGAATTAGGTATGCGAGATGGTTCTGTGTGCGCGGCGGGACCGGAGATGTACAAGACAGGGCACTCTCCTGACGACGGAAAACATTTGTTCTCTGCAGAAGCACGACCCTTGAAAGCATCTTCTGAGGCTCCACAGAACGAATATTATTCCTAAGATCAGCCGACATCTGGCTTTCAGCTCCTTGCGAAGTGGTAATAAGGTCCTGTAAGTCTGAAAATGCCCTATAGACTTCAGAATCTTTGAACCTATCCAGATATGCCTTTTGTTTCGCAGAAAAATCTGTTTTCAGAGCGCAGACCTGTTCTCATGACGGAGCATTTACTGCTCGTTCATATAAACGAATTCCGACGCCCTTGTTGGATCCTAATCGCGCGGACATGTTCTTCTTAACATGAAGAGGATCAAGGAACAACGAAGCATTTTTCATCACGTCCCGGTAGGCTGCTTCGATGGATTTTTCTTGATCGACAATTGTCACCCTCCCACTATTATCAAACCCAGGAATTTCTGCACATGCCTGAAATACCTTTCCCCAGGACTCTTTGTTCTCAGGACCAACGAAGT